CCTCTCCCCACATCGAAAATAAATTTTTTTTTTTCTGTCTCCTTCTCCCCAATTAAAAATTGTTAGAAAAGCAAAAATAAAATTTTCTCCAAAGGGTGTATTTACTGTAAACAAATAAAAAAAAATTTTTTTTTTTTTATTTGTCGAATGTGTGTATCCGTGTTTAGTTAACCATTGTCTGGACCGTAAAAGATGAAATCTAAGGGTTGAATAATCAAAGGGGGGTTGAGGGATACTCTTAATCTGATTACCCGAAAGCACGGTCGAACTGTCAAACACTCCGCTTATGACGCAACCTGATGACAAATTTAATCACTCTACTATATCACGGGTCGTTTCGGATTTTTCCTTCCAAACTTTTTTTTTTTTTTCATGTTTACAAAATTTTCTCTCTCACTCACTCACTCCCCCCCCTCTCTCTCTTTCTCTCTCTCTTTTTATTTTCGTATGTGTTTGTTTACACGGTTTAAAATACAATTTGAAGAGAGTGAGAAGAAGAAAGAAACAAAGAGATGGAAAAACAATTTACACACCACTCATTCTCTCTCTTTCTCTCTCTGGAATTCATAACAAATAATAATGATGATTTAATCATAGATCATTTCATTTCCGGTTGTTTAATAATTTTTTCAATAGAATATTTTAACGGAAGTGGTACCTTTAAAACCCGACAGCAAATCAAACGTGTGACCAACAGGAAATACCGACCAAAAAAAAAACCCTACAAAGTTAAAATTTCCCAGGAATGGAAACTCTTTTTCGGTCAAATGGGGGACCACTGGGGACCACTGGGAGCCGCGATATTAAAAGAAAATTTAATAAAATTTTTTCTAGAAGTTGAAAGAAGAATTTGTTGGTATCACCGAAGAATTTTATAAACGAGTACCTACCACTTTGTAAAAATAATCAATCGAATAAAATACTTAGCACACCGAACTACCCGTCATCACGAATAATAATAATAATAATAATAATAATAATGATAATGATAATAGAAACACATTTAAAATTTAACGTTAACCACGAAAAAAAAAATAAAATTTATGTAAAAAGTTTATCGTCGAATGAAGAATTTCGTCGTTCGTCACTTTTTTAAAATTTCAAAAATGAAAATAAAAACAATAATAATAATAATGATAATAATAATAATAACGACAATTTAAAAAATAAAAAAAAAAATTTCGCTTTTTCTCGTAAGTAATAAAAAATTAATAATCACGGACGAACACAGATAATAATTAATAATTAATAAAATAAAATAAAATGTGAAAATCACGTACCTTAACTTATTTATATCACATACAAAAAATATATATAAATATACGTATAAAATCTATTATTATTATTATTATTATTATTATTATTATTATTATTATTATTATTATTATTATTATTATTATTATTATTACTTTTTTTTGTTTTCAAAATCTAAGAAAAAAAAAAATTTTGTATATTTAACGAAAAAAAAAAAAAACGAAACGAAACGAAAACAAATAATAAAAAAAAAAAATTTTTTTTTTTTTAAATTTTCTCGTTTTTTCTTTACATTCATTTCCTTTTTTTTTCCTTTTCCTTTTTTAACATTTTTCCTTTTGAAAAGGTTTTATTTAAACAGACACATAAATATATATATAGAAAAAGGAGAGAATGAAAAAAAAAAAATAAAAATAAAATTTATAAAAAAAGAAAAAAAAATCTTTGAGTAGAATGGAAAAAGTTTTTTTTCCTATTGAAAATCAAAGATTTCCAGAGAAAGGAAAAAAAAAAACGGGAAGAGAGACTTTTGGGAAGGGGGGGAGGGGGAAGAATTCTAACGTGAAAACAAGAGAAAATTTTTTTTTTCCGTCCGTATAACTCAATTGCCTCCTGTTTACCGCACGGACAGAACAAAACAACGGGGGGTAAAAGAAAAGAAAAGGGAAAAAAGGGGGAAGGAAGAAAACTTCACCACAAAAAAAAAATTTCTTTCGCTGCCTTTTTCGTTTTTTTTTTTTTCGTTAATAACCTATTAAAAAATCAATCAATAAGATCGATATAAATAATAATAATAATTATAAATAATCGATTTGAACTTTATCGATACAAGATTAAATTTTCATTAAAAAAAAAAAAATTAAAAAAAATTTTAAAAAATTTAAAAAATTAAATTTAAATTTTTATTTTACTTTCCATACATATATATTATCATTATTATCTTTTTTTTTTATTAACAAATAAAAAAAATATTTATAATACAACATAATTAAAGATATGTTTCTATTAGAAAAAAAAAAAAATTATAAACGTAAAACATTAAATTCTAAATTTAAAAAAAAAAATAATAATAATGATAATAAAAAAACATTCGTATAATAATAATATTATTTTTGTGCGATAAAATTTATTATTTATTTATTTATTTAAAAAAATTATTATTATTTTATCCTAATGCAATAATACAGACGAAATGGAAACCATTAGAAAAAAAAAAAAATAGAAAAGAAAACTCACCGTTTTTTTTAATTACAGTGACACGATACGCGAGTCAATTAAAATTTGACTTGTTTTATTGTCTGAGATTGTTACATATATATATATATATACGTGTACAAAAGTTTTAATAAACTATATCGTATTTTAAAATCATCATCATCATCATCATCATCAACGAACAAAAAAATTGATTTTTTTTTTTTTGCGATACTTCAAGTACCGTTCACGTAACAAACAAACAAACAAAATACGCGATATGAAATCGTATAGGCAAACGTCACAAGTCGACGAAACAAATTAACGATAACAATTAAAATTATATTATATAAAAAAATTTCTTTTTATTATTTTTTTTTTGCCCCCCCCCCCTCCCCCCTTCATAGAATCATCAAAAATGTTTTTAACAACACATCTCGTTGTGTGTGCACGCACGAACACCACGTGTGTGTGTGTGTGAGCAAATAATAATAATAATAATAATTTGAGTTAAAAAAAAAAGAATTAAATGTTTTCTTTCAATGCTAATTCGGCTCCTTTTGATAGTATCACGTGTACGTCGATGGGTGGGAAATTTTGTAGAATTTTCACGTTGGCGGAAAATTCATTTTGTAAAATCTGATTACGAAGTAACCTGGAAAAACAAAACAAATTTAAAAAAAAAAAAAATTAAACAAATTTTACTTTTTAAAATATGATTTCAAAAAAATTTAATCAAAGGTCAATCGAATAATTTTTTTTTTTTTTCAATTCTTATCACTCTCATCTCTGATAATAAATTAATTGATATTAAAGATAATTGCAAACAAGTGCAAACAAGATATTTTTTTTTTTTTTTTTTGTTTTCCACATGGTTTTTTCCCCGTTTTTTTTTTATTATTATCACACGAACACGTGTTTAAATGATTTTTCTTTCACTTACAATATCATAGAGCAACAAATGTGTATTAAAAAACTAAATCGATTCGGATCGGAAAATAATGAATCCCATATTCGTAAAACATCCGGAAGTGGAAATTCCTGGGATAGAAGAAGAGTGATCCACCTAAATGTAAAGTATATTTTTTTTTTTTTATTTAAAAATTTAATAATAATGATTTAAAAAAAAAAAAAAAAAAAGGTGATCGATATACGATACCTGAAACTGTAGTATTCGGGACAGAGTTCCTGTTGATTTAATTTCGACCAAACCTGATAATCATTTTTTTTAAGTTCGGAAGTTAGTTTAATCATCATTCCTTTTATCCCGCTTTCGGCATCGTCCAATGATTTTATAAAAAAATCACGGATTTCCGCCATCAAATTGGTAAAACAAAAAAAACTGTCTGCTTCTGCATGTTCTGAAATCACAAAAAAAAAAAAACAAAAAAATTAATTTTAAATTTATTCGAAGGATTTAAAAAAAAAAAAGAAAAAGGTTCACCTCTCCAGGCACTATCAGGATCTGATGCGAATGCATAATATATCGGCCCTATAATTTCATTCATTCCCTGAACATATCCTTGACCGGGATTTAATTTTGCATATAAAAATAAAATCCTTTCAACAACTTCCCAATGAGCTTCTGATCCTTCATCCAAAGGTGCATAATCCTCTACTGCTTTTTTTACCGATAATGCTATCTATAATTTAATTTCAATTGTTTTAATTTAAAAAAAAATTGCAAACAAGGTACAAACCTAATAATAAAGCATCCCAAACCTCAGCAAAACAAAACAACAACAACAAACAACAACACAAAACATTATTTTGATAGATTTTAAAAAAAAAATTTTTTAATCGTTTGCTTTCCGATTTTCTTTTCATCAAATTTACTCATAAATAAAAACAAATTTTAAATGTAAATTGAAAAATACTTTTTTCACACAAAATAAAAACTTTACTCATTTATATATATATTATAATAAATTAAACTTATTTTATATAATTTAAAACCCAACTATCTAGAAAAGCAATTTTCCCAACATTTAATTTCACAATATTTAAGGCATTAAAATTCAGTGTGACATACCTGCTACTAGTACCATAAGTTGAAATATGCAAAACAAAAAGAAAAATTAAAATTAAAATTATTATTTATTTTATTGTTTACTCTCTGTGTGTGTGTGTGAGGTAAATTTATTTTCACACATTATTTTAATTACCTTTGTAACTCCTAATCCTTTCCTTTCGACATTGGCCGATTTTAAAACTGTCCTTTGTACCCTTTTATGCAATCTTTTAACACCTTTACTCCTAACAACTAAATCACATGGAAAATCACATTCTTGCTGGAAAAATGATATATCAGGGCACAATCTTCTCACATCCTTATCAATTTGTGACAAAACTTCATTATCTTTAAAAAAAGTTTGCCATTGACTATCTGGATTAAAGCTTAATGGATGGTCTAAAATTTCCTCGGTGCATGATGATCCCGATAATCCAGGAGTAACTATCATTTCCTCTGTGTAAAATAATAGAATGAGTATATCAATAAAAAAGTAATTTCATTGGATTTGAAAATTTCTATTTTGAATTACCAATAAATTGCTTGTATAAATTTCTAGAATGATTTAAAGTTGATAACCATTGTACTTTTGATGATGGCAAGTAATTAAGTAATAATTTCCAACACAAGGCTCTTCTTCCTTGCGAATCTGGTATACCTGAAAATGTAAATTTTATTGTATCACAACCCTTGTGATATTAAAAACAATTTTGAATAACACTTTTTTTTTTTTTATATAAATTCTTCAAACCATGAAAACAGAGCTTCCTTAATTCATTTAAATCAATTTCAGATTTATCTAAAACAGCATCCAATTCTTGAAGCCTGTAAAAATAAAGGCAAATAGTATTACGAAAGATAACTTCAAACCATATCAAATTTCGTAATCAATGTAAAAAAAAAAAAAAAAAAAAAAGTAAAATCACGATTTAATATTATGTACGTTAGAAAATTATTTCAGTGTTAATTTTTGTTATTTTTTAATGGTTCAAAAAAGCGAATATGTAATAAATATATTCGTAATTATCAGATACAAAAGCGGTTAGAGACATACAATTCTTACTTTGCTTTATAAAAAGTCATGGTCACCAATTGAATGTAATTAAATCATTGCAAATAATTCACTTGATTTATTTAATTGATTTGCATACAAAATAATTATATATGTATTAAATGGTTAAATATACTGTAAAATAATTATAAAATTTGTTCCTACATTTTTAAACATAAACAAAAATTCATTGACCGATATACATGGTTTTTAAATTATTCTTAAGCCCCGTTTTTTTAACGCTATAAATTGTCTGTTTGTAAAATATTATTTAAAGTTTCATTGCGCAGTTGTTCAAATGTCATAAACGTTTAAAAACAGAGTGATTGGTATTATTTTATTGTATCGTTTATCATTTCTTTTCAAGGCTTTGATTTTTAAATGTAGTTTTACAATTTGATTGTTGACACTGTCAGACATTATCATTGATAACATATGTGCAGCCTGGAAAAGTAGTTTTAAAGCGTAGAAAAGTTTGTTTTCTCGATCCAGACTTTTCATCGTTTGTAAATAATACAAATAATTGATAAAATGAATGTGAAACCAGGAGAAGATGTACCTGATTCACTGTTTGATCAATGCATTAAATACGTAGGACGTAATTTAAACGTTTTGGCCGATACTGACCCCGTCTCGGGCTGCCTTCGTTTAAAAATAGGGTTAACTCTACCAAATGAAATATGTGATAAGCTGTTGGAAGTGTACCAAAAAGTTGGAGGCGTTGTTGATGACAAATTTGTTACTTTATTTGAAAATCCTGGAGCAGCCAGATTGAAGAGAATTAAATTAAAAAATTCTGCAATTAGTGATGATGGCCTAAAGATATTAGTTAATTGTTTACCTGTCGAATTGGATATTTCAAATTGCAGGGAATTGACTGAGAAATCATTGACTCACATAAACGAGAGAGGGATTAATTTAGTATCTCTTTCATTTGGTTTGTTTCCAAAAGTTTTACCTAGAAATTTAAGAAGCAAAATAATAAAAAATGATGAAAAAAATTTTAATTCTAATAATAATTATATTTTAAAAACACCCAACCTGAAAAAGCTAACCATTCGAAATTTAATTGTAGAAATAAATTATTTTGATCACTTACTAAAACCATTAGAGAAATTAACATATTTAGATTTATCAGGATGTTACACTCCTGGTGGTCTTACATTTTTAGTCCTTTTACAAAATTTAACCTCTCTCATCTTGTACAATGTTCAAGATTTAAATTCAAGTATTTCTTGCATTGAAAAATTGAAAAATTTAAAACACTTGGATATTTCTATGCCTCCTCCAACTTGTGGAACTTTTAGAGATCCATCTTCTACTCTAGCTTCATTAGTTCAAAATCTGCCAAATTTAATATCATTAGATATATCCGGAACAAACTTAACAGAAAGGGGTAATTAATTTTTTTTTTCAATATTTAATATATATATTTTGTTTTTGCATAATTAAGATAATGAATGTTAAATTTTTAGATTACTCAAACGAAACTAATGTTAATAATGATGACTGTGAAATATGTGGAATATCAGGATTGAGTTCCAGAATGAAACGACCCTTTGAGTTTTTAGGATTGTATAAAACACACCCGGATTCATGCAGGAGACCCAATATTCCTGCAAAAAGAATATCGGGAAATGCGAATGAAGAGCAAATTTTAATTGCCATGCAAGCCAATCTTGACAGAACTGAAGTTTTAGCGAATGTTTTAAATAATTTATATGATTTATACAGGAATGAGCAAAGTGAAAATGTCAATGAAGCTTTGGTTTTTCTAATAGAAGCTATGGATAGGCACATACATGAAAAACATATTCAAATTTCTGGAAGGTAATTACAACAAACAACACATTTCTCAACATTGCTGGATTGTATTTTAATAGTGGGAAATATATTTTTATATGTATTTCTTTTTTTTAGTGCTATTTTATTCTACATGGCAAATGTTATTGCGAATAAAGCATACTTTTCGCTGAAAATGAAACGTAGTTTAATTAGTACTGTCATAAATGCTATGGGTGCTTTTCAAGATGATGAAACTGTTATAAGAAATGCTTGCCTCACTCTTTTACAATTTTGTTTACCTGATGATTTAGTAAGTTTGTAAGAATTTTCGACAAACATACCAACTCACAAATCTTTATTTGATTTATTAATAATAATGGCAAATTATTATATCGGCCTAATAATGTACTATTTGCTTTACTCATACTACAAGTGCAACTACTTTGTAATGTCCTAAAATTTCATATTATTTACAGATTTTCGAGTATGAACGTTTGGTCCTACTTCTTCTGTACATAATTTCTGAAGTTGATGACACATACGTTTTGAGAATTAGTTTATCTTTGTTGAATTCTTTAGCATGTCAAGTTGATGAATCTCAAAAACAATTGCTTGGTAATTTGGGAATGGTCGATGTAAGTTACTTTTTTTTTTTTTTTTAAATCAATCATATGAGCGATTAAAAGAAATTTTTTTTTCGCTATGCAGCAAATATTAACATTGATAACGGATCGATTACAAAGTCAAATATGTGATGACATTTTGGAAGTTGCCTGGTCAACTTTATGGAACATAACAGATGAAACAATTGAAAATTGTCGAAGATTTCTCGCAGAAAATGGAATGGAATTATTTTTGGCTTGTCTTTCGGTTAGTTGATCTAATCTAATGAATGTAAATTAAATGTAAATCACTTACCTTTTTTTTTTTTAAAAAAATATTTTTCTTGTCGTTTAAGATGTTTCCCAGTAAAGAAGAACTTTTACGAAATATGATGGGACTCTTGGGTAACGTGGCAGAAGTTAAATTCCTTCGTCCTGTCTTGATGTCGGAGCGTTTCGTGTCCGTTTTCACGGAATTACTCGGATCGGGTTGCGATGGGATCGAGGTAACCTTTGGCACTGTAGAATGTTTGCAAGTCTTCGACTCGTTTCCAAATTTCATTAACATTTCGTTAAATTTAGGTTAGTTACAATGCAGCGGGAGTGTTGGCTCACATGTGTTCTGACGGCGTTGATTTTTGGACGGTGAAAGAACCTAAAAGAGAAGTAGTTTTAAGAAAAATTGTTTGGGCTATAAGAAGATGGGATTTGAATACGGAAAGAAATATAAATTATAGGTCTTTTCAACCCATTTTCGGATTACTCAAAGTAACTCACACCGAAGAATGTCAATATTGGGCAGTGTGGGCTCTCGCTAATTTGACTACGGTCTATCGTAAGTTTCGTTACAAGGTCAATCACCAAAGTGCAACGAAATTATTTTTTTGTACTTATTTTCAATTATTAACTGGTTTTTTTTTTTTTCAGGAGAAAAATATTGTCCATTGGTAACGAACGGTGAAGGAATGGAATTGCTCGAGGAATTGGCCAAAGCAAAACATTCACATCGAGCGATAAACAAATTGGCAAATATAGTAATAAAAAATTGCAAGGAAACGTAAATTTAAATTTGGAAAATTTTAAATAATAATGACCTTTACAATCAAGGATAAGGTTTCACATGTAAAATTTATAACTGTATAGAAAAAAAAAAAATAAATTAAATGAGAATATTGTACCTC